CACGGCCTCGCAGAATTCAGCTTTGGACTCCTTGGCCGGAGGGTCTGCGGAGTGCTGGCAGATGGCTTCTCGGCCGAGTCTCGACTTGGGGCTGGGATGGAGTGGGCTGGGGGGCAGGGTGGGGTGGGTGGGGTGGGTGGGTGGGTGGGTGGTTGGTTGGTTGGTTGGTTGGTTGGTTGGTTGGTTGGTTGGTTTCGCTGTCTATCCACCAAGGGGAGCTTGCGTTTTCTTGCACCGCGACCTACGAGACACATCACTTCACTTCAGGCGGTGCCATGGAAGCTGTCGACCTCCAGTGGTGACTCTTTCCTTTTTTATTGGAGGGTTTTGCTGGAAAGTCGACTGCCCAAAACAAGTGTGCTTTCACTTGGGGGGGGGGTTGGGGATAAAGATGTAGAAGGAGCCCGGCTAGGCATCTCTCATGGTAGCGGCCAAAGTGAAGCGGGTGCTACCCTCCCAGCATCTGCAACGCGGGCTTGGCTTTTCAATGCTCGAGCCAGAAAACTGAAATCTCAATATTTTGGATTTTCCTTGAGCAAGATCTTGGGTATCTTGAGAAGGGCAATATGCTTCTGGGATGTGTCTGACGGGAGCCACCTGCTTCTGTGCCGCAAAAAAGAAACTATGGAGTCTTAGCCAATCCTGTGTCTGGCTGGGTTTGGCGGCAGGTTTTCGCTACCGGAGAACTTCCCGGGAATTAATTTTGGCCGGCTCTGTTGCGGATATTTTCGTCTCACTTGCCCAAAGCCAAAAAAATGTGACCCCCCCTACCGCTATGGTAGGGGGGATGGCTGACTTTCCCGGTCCTTTGGGCAAGGTCTGGGTCGACTTTTTCCCGAAGCCCCAAGAGTCGCCGACATCAGTCAGGCGCTGGTCTTGCTCCAGGGGATGGACCAAGCAGCTCTGGAGGCCAATGGCCGCTTTGGCAGAATCGCCGATTATGTGAGTTATGAGGGGTATGTAAAAGGTTTACCTAGTCATGTTCGTACACAAATTGGTGGGTTGTGTGTTGATTTATACTGGTTTATGAATGCACTGTGTCGTGAAAAGAGAGACACACTCTGCTTGTCGTGAACAAACGGACGGTCTTTCTCCTGGTATGCAAACATGGTTCCTGTTCTTGGTGTGAGAGATGTTCTTTGCGTTTGTGTAGCCGCAGTGGTTTTACAGTTGCACCTTAACAAGGGGATGTCTTCATGTCATGGTTAGTATGGTCCGCGGAGCGACCAGCCAACGCAAAAGCCAACCACCAGCCGCTGCCCTTTCACACGCCAGAACAAGTCTATGCCAGGTTGGCATTGACAATACCCCCAAGTGTAAGTTGCGTCAAGGCGCAAAGGCAATCCTTGATCCGCTTGCACACCAAGATCAAGTTGCGTCCCCTCACGCGGCAACAACGCAATATTTGTACATATACTACATACTAGAGTAAAGCCAGCCTTTGTGCTATAACCCAACAAAGGCAACCCTTTAAACCAGCATATTTGAATTTTATATACAACATGCAAAGCAACGGCTCTACCGACCTCGAGGCCCAAAGCAATATGAGAGTCAATGGGGGGCTCACAAATATGCCCAGGGGTTGATCACCATTCCAGTGTCGCCTGAGTTCGGCTGGCGCTCCGAGGAATTACCTTCAGCACTGGCCTGGCCGTTTGCCAGGCCTCCCCTTGGACGCGGGAAGCGCACATCTCCACTGAGTTGCCCGGTGGTGCCTTTTTTTTCCGTTTTTGGGGAAGGTTCCCCTTTAAAGTCAACCAACCACTCACCCAGCCAGTGGGCGCACTTTACACTTGTTGCCTTGGTGCCTCTCCCTTTTCTTTTAGTGGCGGCCCAAAAAGTGTGCACTTTTTTGGCTGGTCACTGGCCAAGTGAGACCAAAACCAGGATCCCGTTCTTTCCCCATGGCCACTGGGCATCTGGGTCCAGTGGTGTTGACGGGGCGTTAAGATCAACACAAGGCTGCCTAGGCAAACGTTGGGCATGGCACTATTGAGTACTGGAAGTTCCGAGCCCCCCGGCAAGCTCTAGGGTTTCTCTTAAGCCGCCGCGAAAAGGAAATACAACCCAGAACCAATCTTTGTTGCGCTGATCAGTATTTGCGGAAGTCCGTCATAGCTAATGTTCACAATTCAGCATGGCCCACCGTGAATTGCGTATTGGCTTCTCTACATTGGATTGTTTTTGCTGCGGTTTCAGCTCAGTGGGCTACTGCAAGAAGCTTTCATGTGGCGGTCTGACAGCAAATAATTCATCGATCAACCTCAAAAATAATTCGAACGGGCATAATTTTGTTGTCTGGACGTGACACAATGCGCTTGGTAATGTTCGAATTTATTTGGAGGCCCTCAAGTAGAAAGTTATTCCCGAAAGTCGTCATTCCCATGCAAGGGGAGCTGGCTGTCGTTCTGAAGCCCTTTGCGCTGAATGTGCTGAGGAGGATGTTGCAACTATGCCTGTTTTTACCCTTTGAAGAAAGGGTTGGCCAAGCGGTTCCTGCGGAGCGCATCAAGACTCACTCCTGACTCAGCACAGCCCCAGCGGCACGCTAAGCTCTTCTGGATCCCCCTGAATTTAGCGAAAATCGGACGTGCTTTGCTTGGCGCAGCACTGATTGTGTTCGCAACATGGTGTTCATTCTGCTAATCCAGATTTAGTGCTTGGCAGGTTCCTGGAGAGTTTCGGACAGGTTCGGAGAGGGGGGCTATTAATCAACGGGTTAACACATACCTGCGCCCCAGGACCAAATATGGACGTTCAGGGTGAACTGCTTAAAAAGAAGAGTTTGTGGTCACTAAAAATGGCACCTGTCAGAGGGCCCTTGAAGAGGGCGGACATTGATCCCACGGAGCGTAAGAAAGAACAAATCAATGGAAGTGAGGTCTTTTGCTCCCTGGCAAAGCTGTCCTTTTCTACCCAACAGGGTTTTAAAGTGCACATAGTGTACGTGCCTTTGACCATTGTTCTGTTCGCTGGCTGGTTAACTTGACTGCTATTGGGTTGGATCTTTAGACTTTAACTTTTTGGGAAGTCAATGGGTTTTCCACTAAACCCCCCAAAAGTGAAACTTTTTGCGGGGGGGTCAACAGCAACCAAGGTAAAGCCTCTCTTGGGGGGTCATTCGCCTTGCCGTCCTTGACTCCTCGACTGGACAGGCAGAGCTGTGGCCAGTGGGCGCTAGTTTGCTGGAGGCGATGCGCTCAAGGCGCGTCAGGGTGAGACCCGAGTGGTTGCACTTTCAAGGCTCCACAAGTTGCTTTGGGGGTTAATGTGAACGCTTTCACAGGTTCTCAAAGTTCACTTGTTTGAAATGGCTTCCCCCTCGCATTTTTGTTAATACCATGTAGAGGGTAATGTTGAACATGTCACTTGGATGGACCCAGTTTAAATCATGTCAAGCTGCGACCTCTTGGATGGTCTCCCTGGCCACTAGTGATCTGGGATGCATGTTTGAAGTGTGTTTGTTTCAATTCACTTCAGCTGAGACGTCCAATTTGTCGATTGAACTCCATCGAACCATAGCAACCAACGGAGTCCATTGCTTGAAGCCAACCCTGGCAGGAACCTTCGGGAGAATGTCTTCAGCGCCCTGGTTGGTTGCTCTTCTTTGTTCGTTTTAATGTGTGTGTGTGTGTTGTGTCTCGCGGCTTTCCGCGAAAGGGCCCGCATTCTTTCGGTTGTGGGGCGTGTTATGGCGTGTTGTTGGTGCTTCGGCACTGGCGCAGAGGAATGTTTTTTTGCTTCCGCTTTTGTTTTGGGCTTTCGAGGGACATAGAGGGGTCAAGTGGGCCATTGTCAAATCAGACCACCAGGGATCGCAGGTTTTCGTCCTTGGCTCCATTTACCAGGGCTGCGCTTTGGTGACCTATTTTGACCAACAGCCAGGTTCTAGGTTTGCGGTCTGGACATGTTTCACTTCACCTTTCAGTTTTTGCTGTTTGCAAAAGCTTTGCTTTTGCGAATGTGAGGTGGTCCGAAAGGAACATGTTTGGCTGACGTGGGTTTGGGGAGAGCGAAGATGTCGTTCCGGCTATGCTGGTTGCACCGCGGGTTATACGTTTGCATCTAAGAGCTTGACAATGTTTGGGTCCGAGTTTGGACATGGAGCAGCAGTCCAAGCCATTATAATCCTAAGGAAGTAACTGAGGCAAATGAGAGATACAGAAGTCACAAGGCGTAAACAATCAAAGGACCAGCAATCCAAGCCAAGATCCAGGCATGTCTAAGAAAGTGATGTTTGCAGACCCCACCAAAGGCTAACACAAACAAAGGCAGGCTATTTTGGCAGATGCAGAGTTGAATCAACGCCTTTGGTATCGCAGGACGGGCAAGTGTTCCCCAACCGTGTTGCGCAGTCTGTGCACTTCATGTAACAAAGTTCCTGGCATTAAAGACGCCCACTTTTTGCCCGCCGATTGCTAACCAATACTACTTGAGAGGCATCTACAAGGTTTCCCAAATGAAAGATTCTGACACTCTTCAGGCCCCCCGCGCTCCCGAATAAAGACTCTCCCCCCCCCCCTCAAAGAAAGGAAAAGAACATAATTGCAATATATAGATACAACAACAATATCCACGAACATCTTTCCAGGTCCCTTAGACACGCGCGAAAACAAGGAGGCCTGAACCACATGGTTGCCAGGAATATATCCTTGTGAGGCTATCTTGGAGGGGGCTAGTTGATATAATACGTTACTTCTTGGTGGCTGTCCCTACAAACCACCCCCTTCGCCGGGGGGGGGGCTGTAAGTTTTAGGTCCCTGCAGGTTGTGTGAGAAACCTGCTGCCGTTCTTGGCGGCTCAGCCTGCTGGCTGGATTTGAATCATACATGCGCACGGTTCAGCGCCAGAATTGAACAAGGACGTGATAGGGCGTTTGCGGCAATGTTCCCGAGCAGCCGAGTCACAGAGATGAATAGCCAGAGAGTTTTGGACGAGTGGCCAATGCTTGCCCGAGCTCAAGCGGACCGAGCCGCAAGTTCCAAAGACCATAGGATACCATGCAGCCAGCGGGTTGGGCCATGGCCGCGGCATGGCTTGTGCTCTGGATCTTGGCGGAGGGTTCCGACCAGAGCGAGTTCTGCGGATCTTGGGCAGCTGCCGGGGAGTGTACCCGAAATGCCGCCTACATGCTGAAGGCGCGGGGATTTGATTTTTTTGGTCGGCAAGCAGCGTGGGTTCGCCAAGTTTGGGACCCCGAAATGTTGGTTTTTGTTTGGCGGGCCTCAAAAACGACGAGCTCAGGAGCGTTGTTCAAAAGCAAACTGGAATGCTTATGCTAGATGGTAGTGGTTGCCTTTAGCGGTGACCCAGTACGGGTTCCGGGTAGGATTGGGGATCCGCCATTTCGAACAACTCGGATTGGGCGGCGACCATTTAAGAACCCAGGATTGAGTCATACCGCCATGATTCATAGCGAGGCGTCGGGAATCCGCTATATAATATACATATATATATATATATATGTTTGCGCGGGAAACATAAAGAACCAGCCCACCGTCAATCTGCAAGGTGTATGTAGGATGGAACCCAAGTAGAGTCTATGGCAAGTGTTGGCCCACCCATCGTATTTGCGGGGCTGTTATAGCTCTGGTCAGCTCTGGCGTTGACATTGCATGTTTACTTTGTGCTCATCGCGATCTCTGAGTCGTCACATCAACCATTTCCAGGCTAGGGGGCTCAGCTTCAAAACAAAAGACACACAAAAAGAAGGACACATACACAGACGAACAGACACACGCACACAGAGACGACTCGGATATATCAAAAAACAGGCAGGCACGCAGGCAGGGCAAAAGGCAGCCGGCTCGGAGGGTAACTGGGGGCCTTCGTTTGCAAACTTGAGTCCTTCCGAGCTGGCCCCATCACTTGCGCGGACGGTAGCACCTCAACCGTTCGGAGTCCCAATGGTATTCGAGATGCTGAGCCGTAGAACCACTACGGCTATGTAGAACTCTGTAGAACTTTGCTTTTCTTGCCGGTGCGATAGGCAGGGAAGGAGCTTCCGGGTGAGAATGAGAACCGGTTTGGGGGATTCCCTTAAAGGAAACTACACGTTGGATGGTTTCTGGGGGTTCCATGTCTCATTACCTACATCTCTCGCACCAGCAAGCTTTTTCCAGCAAGTTCGGCCAGCAGGCAAGGCCGTTTTGGGGAGATTTAAGAGTGCAAGGTTCGATTTCCTCGAGAACCAAGTTCGAAGCGACAGCAAATACACCTTAAGATGCTTCGTGTTTTGTTTCTTTTGTTTCTTCTGGGGGGGGGAATACCTCAAAATCCCTAAGGGCCCTACTTTACCTTTACCCCCGTTTAGCCCCTTAGCAATCCTCACAGGGTTCTAGAAATATTCGAGGAAGGATGGATTCCTGGTTCAGCGCTTGATAGCTTTCTCATTGTGAGGCCTGTCCAGAGAGCTGCGGAGCGCAGAACGGGTGCAAAGAGTGGGCGGCTGCTGGGGAGTGCGAGAAGAACCCAAACTTCATGCTGAAGGACGGGCTCGGTCAGGGGTTCGGGGTCCTGCGGTGCAAACTCCACTTCACACAATAGCATCCCACAAACCTATTCCAATTGTTTTGGCGCTTGATTCCAAATTGCCATATGTGTTATGTTGGGGAAACAAGGATGCTCGCCAAGATGGGCTTGGTCTTTTTTAGAGGGTGCCTTTGAGAGGAACATGGTCCAATCCATGAAAACTTCAGTCAGGTTTCCATGGTTGCCATTTGCAGGTTTGATCCTTGTCTAGGTCCCCCAGTAGTGCCCTTTTACCTTTTTTTGGGGGAGGGTTCCCCTACTAAAATTACAGAAAAAAGGGTGCCCTTATTCTAACCTCTCTATTGGACCTAGTCTTCCTGTTGAACCTAAGTTTGGGACACTACATCCCCAACCTCCAAACCACGGGCAATCTGAACGCGAGAACTCGCGTGAGAGGTGTGCGCGGCGGCTTGTGACTCGCCGAAGGCCGCGCAGGACGGGCTTTTTTTGTGGTACTATTTGGTCCAGACGCCAGTGACAGCGTTTCACCAAACCAGTTGTGTGTTTTGCTTTTATTTTTTCCTTACGCCGATTATGGTTTTTGGTTTTTTGAGTTGGACTGCAGCAGCGCGAGAAAGCGGAAGGTTGGTAGCCTATCCTGTTGTTGCCACGGAAGCTGGTGAACGGGGCGTGGCTCTGCCTTGTCCATCAACGCAAGGCGTTAATCGAACGAACTCCTTTCGGAAGCCGGGCTGAATCACTTTTGTTGACATATGATGTGTCGCATTTTTCTTGGATGTTAGGACTTTAGCTTTTTGCCAACTAATGGGTTTTCCATTAAACCACAAAAAGTCAAACCTTTAGCAGGGGAGCAGAAAGCAACCGAGTATGCCTCGCAGAAGGTGCAAGCAAAGAAGCTGGGTTGTCCAAAATAAGACTTCATCCTTATGCTAGATGGTGGTAGTTGCTTGTCTTGTAGTGATCTCCCAATTCGGGTTACGGAGTAGTACAAGGGATGCTCCGTGATGCCCCCATGTTAATTCCAGAAGCAGTCCAAGGTTCTTGCTTGTTAGAGGTATGGGCCCAGTCACAAGCCAACTGTACCTGGCACGGTGTGTCTTTTTGTGTTGTGTGTTGTGTGCTGGGTGGTGGGTGGCGGGCGATGTGTGTCTGTGTGTCTGTGTGTCTGTGTGTCTGTGTGTCTGTGTGTCTGTGTGTCTGTGTGTCTGTGTGTCTGTGTGTCTGTGTGTCTGTGTGTGCTTTTCGTTTGACCATATCCTTTTCGCACTTGATCGAAGGACACCAAACCACTTTTGTTGCTTGGGGGGGGGCTGCCATGAGTTCCACCCGCCATGGCAACTGAACCCCATTTTTTGCTTTTTGTTGAAGTCTGTCAAAGCTTTGCTTTTCGCCGTTTGTTCTGAATGTGGCTTTATTCTTTTGGTTGCGGGCCTTCGGATACGCAGGCCGAGCCCTCGACCGCGACGTCCGAGGCCATGGGGCGGGAGTAAAATGATCAACTGTTGGAGGTGAAATCGAGTGACTGTTGTGCGCCAACCCCACATTTATTGGTGGAAAGGGAGGTCCCTTTCCATCAAGGGGGCCGTGTGCCCTTGCCCACTTGTCATTGAGCACCACTTTCACAGACTGGGTTGTTCAAAGGCAATCCTGAATTCTTGTGGTTTTCCAACAGGGGTTATGGATTGGGATCCAATGCTTTAAAGAGCTCAGACCAAAGCTTGTTCTGGAAGCGAAGTGCCGCAGTCAGACTGGTGACCAAACCTCGGGGATTGCTGCAGCTGTTTGCGCTTCAAACTCGGTAATTTGTAAAACGACGATCGCGACTCATTTGGGACTCCGGTGAATTTGACAACGACCTGGGCTTTCTTTTTGTTGCTCGTTCTGGACAGTTTGAAAGCTCCAGGAGCAATTGCAACCAAGTCCCAGCCTTCCTTGAGCCGTCGTTTTCGCTGACCTCCCCAAGCGCGTTCCCCTCTTTCGAACAACTGCGCGAGTCAGCAGGGTTCGCAATCCCCCCCCCCCCCCCCCCCCGCCCCCTCCCCCCCACGTCGCAGGGCGGCTTGTCCGACCCCACGGAGCGCGCAGAAAAGGCGGAGGCGCTCTTGCAACAGGCGAGGAAGGACCTCGAGGAGAGGCTGGTCGCAGGTCGCAAGATGTACTTTACAGACATATCCAAGAACACCCCGTGGTTTTTGTTTCCTTTGTTCATTTTTTTGGAGGGGGTGTAAATCTGTCTGTCACTGTTCCCTTTCAACCAGCAAGTTGTCAGTTTTCAGGGGCCCATGGCCAGCTTACAGAAAAAATTAGCAAGTTCTTTGGCTTCTTCTCTAGTCACGGCGGCCCCGAGCCTTTGTGACCAAGCTCCCGGAAGAAGATGTGTAAACGCCTTGCCCAAAGGTGCTGCATTCAGATCCCCTGATTACGGAGCCCAAAGACAAGTACAAATGATACAACAATCCCCTATGGTTTCCTGTACGGGAATCCCCAAAACCGGTTCATTCCCAAAACCCGGACGGTCATTCCCTACCTATCGCACCAAGACAACAATTTCCCTAATTACCTATCGCTGGCCTCAAGGCTCTCAAGGTTGGCACCTAGAGGCTTCCCCGATGCGGTTCGACTTGCCATTTCGATCTTGGTTTCTCCGGCTGGCTTACCCCCACAGATCTTGCCACGTGTGCTTCTCCGTCTGCTTCGTTAAACGATGCTGTTGGGTTACAATCGTCAGAGGGAGCGACGAAGAGGAGTTAATTCAGAAAGCGGGCTGGTGAAAAGGCACTGGCACTTGTGGCGAACAGTGCTGGCCGTCGTTCCGGCCTCTCTCAAGTTTAAAGTGGATTATCTTGCGGAAGTTACCTTTTGCGGAGTACTAATTGGAGTACTTATTTGTCCAAGCTCCTTGCGAGATGGTGCCCCTGTTAGGCCAACTAATTTGGTCAGTTTCCTTGGTGCTGGGTTTAGGGTTAAGACAGAGAGAGAAAGAGAGAAACAAAAGAGAGCGAGAGAGAGAGAGAGAGAGCCGGATCCCTGCATGAACCACTTCAGTGTCCTGTTTTTTAAGGTTGGGTAGCCACGCTTCAGGAGATGCGGCGGTACCTCTCTGAGGCCAACAAGCTGGCGCTGGAGGAGCTGGAGAGACAGCCCGGGTCCCCAGCGAAATAGAGCCGCCCAAAATCCCATAGCGAGGATTTTGCTAGTGCTCACGTTTTCAAGTGGGGCTTTCCATGTGGGGGGTTGGACCAGTTAGGCAAGCACGAAAATTTGGCTGTTTGAGGGCTCCAATTGTGCCAAGAGAATCTGTTTTGTTGTAATGTCTTGATTGCTATTTTGGATTTTTAGACTTCAACTTTTTGGGAAAGGGGGTTTTATTAAACCCATAACAAATTCAGCTGTTTGCGGAGGGGTCACCAGCAACCAAGAAGTCGTCATGGTTGGATGGCCCACTTTAGCATCACAGTGTCTGGCATCTGAAAACAACTGCCCTTGCTCGGTGTATATAGGTTGGAAGCTAGTGTTGAGGCAATAGTTTTCCATTTAGCCGATTTGTGCGGCAGGAAATTCTTAAATTGGCATTCGGCTCGTCGTGAGAGTGAGCCTCGTTTGGTAACGTGGGCGATCTCTAACGTCACGCGAGCAGCGCCCAGAGGCTTCTTTTTTGGATTATGCAGCGACAAGGGCTATAAATTATACTTCGAACACCGCAGTCAGGAAAGCTCATAATTGTTCAGCCCATAAGACAAAGGCACATGGCAGTGCCCCTGTGTTAGCCCCCCAGTTTGGTTCATGAAGGAGTTGCTTGGCAACCCTGCACCGGTGGCCATGCAAGAGTAGCTTGGGCTGTTCCTTCCGCTTTCATTTGTGCAGGCCAGGGGTGTGGGCCTACCTTCGAACACGGGAACATGACGCCCGGAGATCATCAAAGACAACACAACAAGAGCACGTGTTCGCCAGAGTTTGAAAACATGTCCGAAATCCAGTCGGACAAATTGTTTTGAGCTTGCATGAAAGGGGCTAAAAGCAGCTGACCACTGGTCATCCACTTCGGGGTTCTCTTGTGCCTAGTTTTGCAGCGGGTCGGGTAGTAATCTATTCCTTATTTTCTGGGAGGAACTTGTTTTGTTTGGGTACTCCTTTGAAAGTCCAAACACGAAACCTAACGTTTCCCAGCCAAACCCTCGGACGTTCAGACTTAGAGTTGGATGTTTTTGACCTATCCCATGTTCGAAACTTGTTGCAGGGGGATCAAGCAAGCACTCAAGTGAGTAACAGTCGGTTTTCACAGACAGGCAGTCCCACTTGTGGCCCATCCATTTAAGGAAATATCCAAATGCGTTCGCAGTGTACCTATTGGGTATGCCTACCGATTCTTAGTAAAGTTTCTGGATTTGCTTTGTGGGGGTTAGCTTTGTGGTCAAAACCTTCGGGGCCAATATATGCAAAACCCTCATCTTGCTGGAATGAGGGCATGAACCAGAAAGGGATTCCTCCCAAGGAAACCACCAGTTGCATGATTGAAAAAAACAACTTGGGGTCATTCCATTTCTCATTCCCCGCACCAGCAAGTCACGCCTTGAGGCCTTTGTCTTTTGAAAGGACCCGTGCAAACATAGCTGGATGTGCATGTTTTTTTTTTTTGTTGCCTGGAGTCATGGCCAAAAAAGCAACCGACGCAGCCGACTTCGAGCTCCGGCGCCTTGCGCGCGTAGGAACCAGCAGAAGCTCCGGCAGATCGAGCTGGCCCGCGCCGTGGCGGAAGAGAAGGAGCGCCAGTTGCGGCAGGCGCCCGCGCGGAGACGAGTCGAGTTGAGTCGACGAGTCGATTTTTGGAAGCGAAGAGAAGCGAAGAGACGCGGCAAAAATACGGGGCCATTTGTGTTTACCCACCTGTTTTTCCATGAGGTAATACTACCCCGCAATCTTGATTGCTTTTAAAAGTTAGGCCTTTATGACAAACTTACACCCCGAAACCGATGGTTCAACCCTTTGGTTGTCCGGATGTGGTAACTATGTATAGACCAAAAAAACGAGTCTTTTTCTAGGTCCTGGCAAGTGAGTCCCTAAACTTGCGCCCAACCATCTAAGACTCAAAACCCAGCATCACGTATGTTTAGAAAATTGGTGCAGCATATTAAGCCTTATCACAATTTGCATATGAGCAGGCTTGAGCAAGTGAGCATCCTTGTTGCCCACCCCCCCCCCTGACATGTCCAGGGGTGCGTTGAAACAGTGATTGCCCTTGGCTTTGGCATGCCCTTCAGTCGGGAAGACACACAAGGCCAGTGAAACCTTTGTTCAAACCACAACCTGCCTTTTGGAGTCCAACGTTTCTTTCTTTGTGTTGGCGGGAGGGGGGAAGGATCCGCTTTTTGGAAACCAAACAACTTGTTTGTGTTTTTTTTGGTCTTGGGCGGAAGGGTGTCTCTTAGGGGTTATTCGAAAGCCATATGACAGGCCTTGGAATCCACGAAGTCCCGTGCTGCGCTGCTGGAGGTCTGCCGGAAGGGGTTGGATCGCTCCATTTAGGGTGTCTTGGTGGTTTGGAGCCCGGTGGTTTGGTGGTTAAGGTGTGGCTTCCCATTTATTCTCAACAAGAACCAGAAACTTCCATCCCAAGCTACCAATCCAAACGACCAATTTGGGGGAAGATGAAAACAGGGATTTGAGGGTGTCTTATTGTGTGGGTAGCCGTTTTGGGGTTCAAAAGGGGAACAGAAGGGAAGCCACCATTTTTTCAGGGTCTAGTTTAAGATACGCCCGTTTGGATCCCCCTGATCGGTTTCCTGTGGTTCCCTCAAGTTAATCTGCATAAGTCTGAACCCTCAAACTTTCTTTTCCTGTGTTGTTGCTGAAAACTTTTCCTTCACGCCTCCGCAGCGCTTGAGGTGCCGAAACACTCGCTGTCGATATCACGGATTTTAATTTTGAATCCACAGCTCGGGCGTCCAACCCCTGCACCTTTCAAAAGGAGCAGGGGCATCTACAGAAGGTGAGGCTCTTGTCATGTTCAAAGGGCAAATAGGGGAGAGCAAGGTGAAGCATGATACAGAGGATAGAGGATGGGGTTGTGCCAGCATCTCGTGCCAACATAACATGCTTGGGCCATTTTTGAGGGTACGTCCTGCCGGTGAACAGATTTCCGGAGGACCTCCTTTCTTGTCAACTGCAAAGAGGATCTCTGGGTGCTAAATTGCGAATGTGTGTGTGAGTGTGTCTTTGTCCCTTTCCCAAAAGGAGGAAAGGGGGTCCGGAATAGGTACTTGTTTTTCTTTCTCTGACCACCTACTTGGCGCCGGCACCGGGAAGCTTGTCAACCTGACTCGAACCTTCACTGAAACAAGCCCAACTCAAAAGCCGACAACTCTAAACTGGCCAAGAAACTATTTTAAGCCGGTACAGGAAAACGCAACAACCCGCGAGAAATATAATGCTCTCTTTCCAGCAATCACATGCCTTCTTGGAAGTGGGCAGGCCTTTTCGAGAGGACTAGTCTTTCAAGCCCTTCTGTCATCTTCATCTTCCACGATTGTTGGAACATGTGTGGTGTTGGCAAGATGAATTTGGTAGGGTTTTTGTAGTACTGGCTGGTTGGCTGGCTGGCTGGTTGGTTGGTTGGTTGGCTGGTTTATTCGTAGCTTAAATCAACCTCAAACAAACCCAAGACCCGCCCTTATTCACTCTCAACTGCAGCCCAGGCCAGTGATGCTGGGCATGTGGCCAACTGTCCGAAGGCTCCAGCCTGGTCCAGATCCCGAACCAGACCCAGTAAGCTTGACCCACCAGAATATTGTCGTCGAACTGTCTCTCCGCAATCTTGTTGTCCATACACTCTCCCTTGCAAACAACGTGACGGGGAAAGGCTCCTGTGGGCAAGTTGCATACCTCTTCTTGACTGCTATTGGGTTGGATATTTAGACTTTAACTTTTTGGGCAATCAAGTTGTGTTTTCCACTAAACCCCCAAAAGGTTTTAGACTTTTTGCAGGGGGGTCCTTGCAGCAACCAAGTCTTCCGCGATTCTTCCTCTCGTGAGCCTCGGGTCAGGAGCAGCTTGCCGCAGTCCGGGCGGCAGCTCCGGGCTCGGCCCGGCCGGCGCCGCAGGCGCCGCACCCGACGCCCCGGCCGCGGCGGCGGCCGGTGGAGCCCATCTATCCGCTGGTGGTGCCGGAAGAGGCGGAGATGCTTGGCCTCTGGAAAATGGGCCACTTCCCAGGTTGATGTGGGGTCTGATGTGAGACATTTCGGGGGAAGGGTCATTTTAGAGGTAAAGAACAAACAGAAGAGCAACAGGACATCGTTTTTGGTTGTTGGGGAAGTCCGGGCCATGATTGATCAGGACGTTTCGTATTATGAGGGGGGTGGCCTTGATGGGGGGTTGCCCTTTGTGAGCTTGACAAGCCTTGTTGGCTTAAACAAACAGTTGAAATAATGTTGCCGCTTCTGGCACCTGTTGGAGGTGTGGAATTGCAATCCTTGACGATGAAAGGAAGTAGACAGTGGCAGAAATATCGGCAATCTCTTTTGACAGTGTACATGTTTCCATTGTGTTGGATTCTGTGAAGGACAGAAAGGGTCGTCTTCAACCAGGATCGCGTGGGGGGTGGGCGGTGGGGACAATCTATACATATCTATACATTTTACATTTACTGGCGAGTAGTTCGCACCTAAATGCGTATGCACATGTCTGTATAGGAAAAACAGACATTGGTATAGGTCATTAAGCATGTGCGTGCAGGTGCGACTAGCTGTTGTTACTTCGCTATGGATTCAGTCATTGGAATGTATGTCTGATATGGTGTGGTGTTGGGTTGTGTATTGTATTAATCTACGTGTTGATGTATTTTTTGCTTCTAATGACTACTGTCTGTTTCAATCAAGTTGGGGATTCACTGTTTATTGCTTCCTTGACCACGCACGACTCAGAACCAAGTTTAGATGTTGATTTTTACCCTCCCACCAGTGAACATGGAACCTGACAGGGGGGTCCTCGGAGATCATGTTCCTTCAAAAGGACCTCCGTGTCAGGTTCTATGTTAATTGGTGGTAGGGTATTCCATCATAGATTGTGTAAATTTTGGTTTATGCATCAAGACCAAGTTTAGTGATAATAAGCAGTTTGCACGTTTTTTGGCCATCCACTCACGAAGTGGAGCTATGCATCTTTGAGCAGATTATCGCCGGCTCTTCGGGCCTTAACTGAGGAAGGCGTGCGAGGGCGCGCTGCTGGAGCTTTGTGGCCGGCACTTGGACGGCCAAAACCCGCAGCTGAAGGCGGGAGTTGGGTCAAAGGGCGCTATGTCGTGACGGTGTGCCCCACTAGGTTCCCCAGCTAGGTGCCCTTTCTCACCGTTTCTTTTCACGAAAGCTAGCTTTAGCTAGCTGAAGTTTCTCCTTGCGTAAGCAAGGTAAGGGGCTCAACTGCCGAAAGATTGATTTTTTCAATTATTTGAGCCGAAAAGATTGAAAAACATCAATTATTTAGACCCCCCCCCCGTCTCAGGCTCGATTCCTCCTTGGTCCACCCCTCCCCCCGGGCAGTGGCTCAGTGTTTCAGCAGTCTCGGTTTGCCCGTTTTGGACTTGGTGCTACGAACTTTTACATGTTCCACCGATTACACGGATATATCACATGCACACACACACACGGACGGACACACAGACACATAGACACAGAGACACAGAGACACACAAACACAGAGACACAGAGACACAGAGACACAGAGACACAGAGACACAAAGACAAAGACAGACACAGAGACAGACACAGAGACAGACACACAGACACAGAAAAAAAATACACGCCCGCAAGAGCTCTGGAAAAATAGTGGCACAGTACCAGAAGCGGAAGAGAACGAAACCATCAGCAACCACCACATGAGGCATCATGAGGTATGTTTCATGGTGGTAGCCCTCATGGCAGCCTCATGTGCAACTTTTTTTGCTCAACAACTCCTCCTGCAAATGGGGTATGGTACCCTATACCGCCTTGAAACGGGGGTTTAGTTTCCTTGCTATTTCCCTTCAAAACAAGCCCGGGAAATAGCTGGGAAACCCGGCGCTTGAAAAAGAAGGAAGGCCACAAAGGCAAAAGTCAAACATGCACGCCAAGTTTGGCAACGACAGGCGGTTGGTACACAGACTGCACCCATACAACTGCTCCTACACCCCCCCCCCCCACCCTCGGAAGCACACCTCCACTGTTGGTCGCGGTTGGTCTTCCCTAAGTGGTTCCCCCTTAGGACTCGCGGTGTGAGACACTCCACCCCAGAGTCTTAGTCCATTTTTTGGGTCCACAAACTTGGCCCTAGCCGGCTGAAGAGCCTTCTACAGGGGCGCTGTACCTGGAAAGAATTAGGGTGCTAGTCTGGTAATGTTTTCATATGTTTTCCTGGGATCCTTAGAAAGTTGTTCTAGAAAGGTTCTAAGAAGCCACCCTTGGAAAACCGCAGATCGCCCAAAGGGCGGGGATCTCAGCGATCCACGCGCGCCAGGAGCTGCTGGTGGCCTGCCGCCATGGCATCGAGACTCTTGGCAGATGGGGTCTCAGGTGTCCCCTTGAAGTGTCGTTTTTTTTTTTTTAATGGGGGGGTCTTTTTGTTTTATTTTATATATTTGTTTTGTGTGTGTGTGTCTTTGTTTAATGTGTGTGTGTGTGTGTGTGTGTGTGTTTTGTTGTTTTGTTGTTTTGTTTGTTTGTTTGGTTGTTTGTTTTTTGCATGGTTTTTCAAAGGAAAGCCTTGTTTTTGTTGGGCTGTTTTTTTTTGGGTTTTTTTTTTTTTTTTTTTTTTTCTGAAGGAAAGCCTTGTTTGTTTGTTGTTTTTGTTGGGGGGGGGAGAGAGCAGAGTGGGGGAGGTGTTTTGTCGGGTGTTGAAAGCCTTGAATTTTGGGGTCCATTTTGGGGCCCATTTTGGGAAACCAAAGGAAAGCCTTCCAGTCTGCGGGTCCCCACATGCCGTTCCATTTTGAACTTAGCTTAGCCAGCAACAACAAATCAGTTTGACTGGCCAGTGGTCCAACCAGGCTTTCTGGGAATGAACCGCGAGATTCTCGAGGAATCAGGTAGTTCATAGGCGTCTTTGGGCCAGGGGCCTTTTTATGCCCTTTTCACAAGGATGCCATTCTTCAAAAATCCTCCTGACATTCCTGGACTGCGAGTGGCGTTCAGCGGCAGTTGCGCAACAAAACCCGCCAGTGAATCCCAACGTGTCGCCATGACGCCCGACGTGACTCCATCTGCAAACCAGCAGCGAAGTCATGACGCAATGTCCAGTACAAAGCCAATGCGATAGGATATGAAAATCCTACATGATTGCTTGGAGCTTATGATCTTGAGATGGTCGCGTCAAAGGATGCAAACACATACGTATGTACTTAAACACGTACTGTACATACATACGCCTACATGCATACACGTACGTACATACAGTCAGGCAGAAAGACAGACAGACATACACACACATACTTATACATACACTTCTACATACATACAGAACATGGTGTATACACATGCACATGTTCACACATGGCAATTCTATGAACCTACTCTTGATGTGGCCAATTTTGGTGAACTTGACCTGGCAACGGGATCACAATACCCCAACATCAATGGCTCAACATTCAATGGGTGTAAGATTCAAGTGGTTGGCTTCCTTCTAGTCTCCTTAGTGCCATCCAAAACAAGAGTTCTCTATTTTGAGAACACACACACACCTGACGATGTGTTTCCATCGTCCCTCTTCATATTATGTGTGGCTGTGTTTTCGAGGGTTCGTATTTTCACTTTCTGTCGAAAGGGGCAGCCAAAAGAGAACCGCCGTTTGGGGTCCAACCCGTGTTTTGACATATACCCATCTTGCAGTCAGCAGTCGCCTCGTAGCCCGGAAACCTTGGCGTTTTACCTCAGCTTCTCTCATGTCCGGGTCCGAATTTCGGTACCGTCGTCCAGTTGGCCTTGACCACGGGGTGGTGCGATAAGCAGGAAATGAGAAATGGAATGAGCCCCCTACCCTCCCACCAGCTAACATGGATTTGTGCACAGACCCCTGTAGAAAGACTACTTTCCTCTTGGAAAGAGCCGTTTTGCACTTCCATGTTAGTTGGTGGGAGGCTATAAACCATCCCATATGGTGTCCTTGCGGGAACCCCCAGGTCCCCCCCTCATTCCCTGCTGAGCGCCAGAAAGGAAACCGAAATACGTACGTTGCGGCACAGAACCATCGGAATGCTGTTCTTACCCGTGACGCGAGGAACGAGAAGCAGCTTGAGCAGCTTTTGCCGGAAGTCAAGATCACGCGGGCACGAGACGCGCGAGCCGCCAGAGACGCGGGAGACCTTGACGCGGGCACGTGTGCGAACAACCGCAATGCGTCGGAGCTCAACAGTACTGAGGCAGCAGCAACGGGCGGAGTGATTTTTTTTTTGGCCTGGGAGAATTCCAGTGGTGCCCTATGAACATATACGCATATACATTTCTAGACGTACCTTCGCCATTTTTGCCAGGGATCCTTCTTTCTAGAAAACCTTCAGAAACCCAGGAAAACGGCCGGTTCTTGGAAAGAACGATGGTTGAAAAGAATGGAAAAGGAATCAAACCCCAGATACATGTGTATTCCTTTTTGTTGGAAGGGCTTCAACTCCACCCCAAAAAATGCAATGCCCTTTTGACTACGGCCACCGGAGGTCTGCAAAGAGCAAAAGAGCACTTGGGGGTTCAACGACTAGGTCCCCCGATAATGCCCTTTTACTTTTTTTTGGGGGAGGGTTTCCATACTAAAATAGCCTACAGAAAAAAAGGGCACCCTTATTCTAACCTCTCTACTGGAGGACCAAGACGAGGCCTGTTGGGCAGGGGGCTTCAGCCACAAAGATTTACGCAGGTACTTGTGCCCAACCTTTTCTGTGGTCCTTGCCCCATTTGGAATTCGTAGGTCGGTATACAACTCGCAAACCTGGTTGAGCGCTTCATGCATTGTTGAGGTCTATGGGTTCTAAGCTACCATGACACAATGAGGTGAGTTTAGGAAGCGCCAGAGGAGGAATGAAAGAGGGCTTGAGCAGCGAATTCGGCTGCGGGCGAGTCAATTTGAAATCCCCGCCGGGGGGGGGGGGGCGGATCTTTGTGCAGTATGCAAAAGCATATCACAACATGGAGGCCTCTTGCATCCAGCAAAAGGTCTGCGCCTCTGCAGTCTTCCTATTTTGACACACACCCATAAAGGAGAACGTCTACGTGCCAGGACGTGCCGGCATTCTTCTCCGGGATCCGCTGTGAGGGCGTTTGCTCCTCAGGGCTCGCGCTCGCGGCGGTGAAGGCGAGTTGTGTTTGTGGGGCGGTGACTCTCAAGCCCCATGGATTTCAATTAGCCCTAAAGCTCTACCGCTATTGGGTTAGATCTTTAGAAGTTAACAATTTTGGATTCCCTTCATATTTCCTTTTAACCAGCAAAGAGTCAAACTTTGTGCTGGGGGATCTACAGCACCCAAGATAGTGGGTAGCAAACCACTGTCCATGATTTGAAAGTGTGGATTGATTTGGTTTCCTTCTAGACTGATAAATGGACCCCGGTAAAATGACAGTGGGGAAAGTACCAAGCATTCAAAAGCAATTCCGGTGAGCAACGGCCCTTAAGGGACATGTTGCAGGGTTCTCAAAAACATGGGCCCTGACGGTATACCGAACGGAAACCCCGGAACGAACCCCTTGGAACCCTCCGGATGCGTTTCTTGCAGCTAGCGGGAGTTACAGTTGGGGGCCGCTTGCCTGTAAACCACCGACAAATGCTGCGATGTAACTTTGTATGGCCCAGCAACATTCCCATTTTTTTGAGGTGGTTTTATCATCAGCTTTTGCTTGAACCTTCCTTTCCACGTAGCAACGCAGCTGGCAGTTGTGAATATTTCGTCAAGCGGTGCCACGTCCAAGGTCAATCTTTCCCCTACGTATCCCGGAGGTGTGTTACTGGGCATGCTCCATCGGACGCGACGCAGGGGGAACTGAGCCTTGCACTGCCAACAGCCCGTTCAGGTTCGGGAAAACTGGGAGCAAAAAGCCTAAAGGGAACCATGTGTGACCGCGCTAGGGGTAAGAGAAGCAAGGGTGGGGCAATAGCTGCCCGCTTGATTGCTTGTGAAACGTCTAACATATATTCAACGCACATCGAGCTAAGCTGAGGTGTTACGTAGCGATTGGTCGTTGTGAGTTGCATCACTCTGTACTAATTCTGGCCAGCTCACCTCGGGGTAAAATGAGCTCACGCGTAACCTCACTCAGGCATGTCTTCCTTCAGGTTCGTGAATTGCAGTGGCTGGGTGCAGATTCATGAGTTGTTCACAGGAGTCGCCATATATTCGACCCACATTGAGGGCACCTGATAACCAAGTTGTTCAGTGGCACCGGTGTTCGATATGTTTTTTTTTTTTTTTGTGTGTGTGTGTGTGGGTTTCCCACCGGGTACCATAAAAAGGGCTCCCTTTCTTTCACCAGCTTTTGGGTCCTTTGGTTTGAACACTTGGATGTTGGCTCTCAAGTTTACATTCGTGTTTTTTGGCCTGCAAGCCGCAGGGGTTGTTTTGCTGCAAGCCGCAAGTAACTCGGACATGTCTGAGAGAACCTCCATATGTCCAGCGCGCGCCCCGGACCTACGACATCCGACAGGCAGCGCTGCAGCAGTCTTTGCAGCTGCTGCTGGACGGGGCTTTGCTGCTGCTGAACCATGGGCCTCCTGGGTCAAAGTTTGGTGCCGGAAACCCAACGTGAGAGAAAGAAACACGTACAGAGAGATGTATGTATACATGTATATACATATATATATATATATATGTATCTATGTGTTGGTGTGCATGCAACTGGATATGACTGGAGGGTCTCCCACCGAGTTGATTGGAGGTCCTTAGAAGACACCTCTTGCAAATCCTGAATGAATCTTTCTGCCAGGTGGTAATGGTTTCACTTGCCGTGGTCTCCGTGGTGTCCCATTAAGAAGTAGCATTTGAGCGATTTGAGATCCCCTCATTCTAGACCTAAACTCAAAGGTCGGTTTCCCCAAGAACGCAACCCCAATGAACCATCCAACAGGACCATCCACAGGTTTCGGCAGGGGTTTCTTGCCAGGGATGCATTGGCAATCAGAAAGCATGAGTGCAAGCGCAAAGCCGAAGTTTGAAAACCCAAGGGTCCAAGGCTCGGAGCAGATCCGGACAAAGGCCGCGCGGCAGCGGCCAAGGCAGTTGGCGCGATGTTGGGGGAAGAGCATGGCAACCCTTGGTTGGTGGGTTGAATTGGTGGCTTTTTGGGGATGCAACCCTTGAATTGGTGGATTTGAACCCCTGGCTCTTGTTGAGGGCAAATTGGAAGCCATCTCTAACCCCGAATCCACCCATCCAAAGCACCAACTGGGAGCAAGGTCAACGCAACAAGATGGATTGCACTTTGCCCATTACCCCGGCAAATCACCCTGAAGAACGCCCCTGGCATGCGTAAAACAGCCGCGTTAAGACACTCCTGGGGCCTCACCCATTGGCTTGTTGAAATTGGTCAATCAACTTGGGTCACCCTTGGAGACCATTTCGGGGGGACCCCTCTGCCGTATTCGCCCCAGTCAGCTCCAGAGGACGTCTGTAACCAATGCAGAACTTTGATCCGGCGGTGCCCGGTGACTCATGCGAAAGGACGGCTTCGGGCGGGCTTTGACAAGGTCCGGAGCCGCTCACTCCAGGGAGGTCTTTTTGCCACCTTTGGTCCAAAAATGAGCGACCCCCTTGTAGTGAAGGATTCCTTTTGGAGGGGGTCGCCAATTTTCTCACAAAAGGTGGCCAAAAGACCCCTTTGCGCCGGAGCCACCATTCCATTCGTGGGGTAGCCTGGTCGAGAAAGCCGGTTTGTATTGCTGAGCCTTACGTGAAATCTAAGACTAAGAAAGTGGCAGAAAGCGGCGACTGAAACACCCCCACTAGTTGGTGGGAGTTTGGCGGGCACTTCTTCGGTTGATATTTTGAGGGTATTGGGACTTTGTGTGCAGCTTTGCTTGTGTTTCTTGCCAGGTTGTCCAATTGCACATAAGATGTCCTTTTTGTCCTGGAGGCAAACCAAATGGGGATGGATCATGTCCATTTGTCCAGACCCAAGGGGGGTCTTTTTGCAACCTTTTGTGAGAAAATTGCCGACCCCCCCCCTCCAAAAGGAATCCTTCATTGAAAGGGGGTCGATCATTTTTCAACCAAAGGGTGGCAAAAAGACCCTCCTGTCCAGACCCAGTATTCAGCACCCGCCTGCCCGAGCCTGCCGCGAAATCCCCAGCCGCTCGCAGGCCGCGGGCATCGGCCGCGCGCTGCGCGCACAGCTGGCGGCCAGAGCTGTGCAGCGCTGGGATGAGCTGGCGCAAGGGGAAGTGAAGAAAGTGCTGACGAGGAATGGGAAAAGCGTGGGGGAAGCGGGGTGGCGCATGTTCTTTGTGTGTGTGGGCTTTTGTTTGTGTGTGTTGCGAGTTCTTTTGTTTGCGCTTGCTTTCGCGGTTGTGTTGCCACGGGAATCCTGTTGCTGTTCTCTTAAAGTTCCTTTTTTAGGGGAAACATCATTTGTTGTGCCGTTCAGGGTTTGGAATTGTGGCCCCCCATTCTCGGTGGCACATGTTTCTCTCACCACAACGGAGTCAAATGCTAATTTAGATGCATAGCAAGGGGAGCCATGATGGGAAGACTATGGCCCTTGAACGCCAACGACAAATAGCCATTGTTGGGCTGCAATGGCTGGCTCAAACTGAAAGTATTTGGTTACGTCCGAAAATTGCCCCCTCCTTGTGTTGGTTTTCCTGTAGAAGCAATCAAAAAGGTATCCCTTATTTCGTTGGACACGCCAAATCTGGTGGTATCCTCCCAGATGTATTTGGAGCTTTTGGTGCAGGCAACAAAGGGACCAGAATCTGAAGTATGGTTGGTGTTTAAACCCAGCGCGCTCAAATGGAGACACTCACGTGGAGCGAAACGGGACCCCGTACGAAATCCTTTCAGAGATCTCATATTTGTGGAACCTTGCCCTTGCGATTGGCGCGCAGAGTCCGTTCGACGCGATGTTTTGCTTCTTCTTCTTTTGCGGGTGTTGACTCCTTTTAAAGCACCATCCAACAAAAGAAGCCGATTTGGGTGTGTCTTTTTATGAGGGTGCTCCTGGTTGTTTGGTTCCAAAGGAAAGCCAGCAGGAAAAGGGTAACCATATGGGTATATGTCACAATTAAACCACCAGGGACCACAGTTTTTGGTCCATGTTTGCACTTGCCAGGCTTCCATTTGCGGTTCCTATTTTTGACCCACAGCCATATATTATGATTCACCCAGAATGACCCGTTTGTTGGGTGGACCCCTCAGGAGCGGCGCGGCCTTGCAGCGCTGGGGCGCAGCTTGGGCGCTGCGTCTCAGCTCTGCCTGGGCGACGCTCTTGGGAAATCTGCCGCCGGAGAGGCGGACCTGGCTGCCCCAGGAGAGACCTGGTGCGCCTGTTGACCCCGCATGAATACACCCCCGTTTATTATTATGGGGACGTCCGATTCTGGTTTTAGTGGGGGTTCATCACTTTTAGAGGGGAGGGGTTTACTAATATTAAATATGGGGTCAACATCAGCTTTCTTCCTGGCTTTTCCGCTGGTTTTGGAGTGGTGGGCCCCTTCCAAAAGACAACAAGCAACAACTACAAGCTAAACTTGCTGGTGCTCAGTATGGCATGTGGGAATGAGCCCAGGGGTCTCCTTAAAGGAAACCACAAGGGATGGTTTATACGTGTCCTTCCCTTGCTGAGCGCCAGCAAGAAAATTGATGGTAGAAAAGGCTTGTATCAACCTTAGGTTTAGGCTTGAGCGTTGACACTCTCTGAGTTCTTGGACTTTAGCCCAGAGTATTTCGACACGAGAGGTGCTCATTGTAGTTGTAAGCAGCTCCTGGGTTGTGTAATGCGTTTGGGCCTTTGGACCTTTTGGTTTCCCTTTGTCGGTGAAGGTCCCAAAGGGTCCAGCTTTGATTCTCGGGTCCTTTGGGCAACTTTTAGTGAATCGTCTTAGGATCCCTTTCTGGATTCGTTCGCGGGGCCAGGATCCCCGGAAAGCAGAATGCGCCTAG